ATACACATACATTCATACATACATACATACATACATACATAGGTATATTTCTGCTCGCTCCTTTTTTTGGACGTTCTAGGGATCAGACGAAAATAGTTCTTTGTGTAGCGGTGGCATATGTAGTGCTGGACTCCGCAATTTGAGATTGGACAGCGCTTCGAGATGGCAACGCGATAGATCACGCAGTTTCGGCAGTTGGAGCAGCAAATGCTCAACAAGGCCTTGATCGCCTTTAATGGTAATGCCGAGGTGTCGTTCGCGCGTCGCTTCGATGCGCAGGCACTTCAAAAGGGCTGACGAGACTCGTTCGATCTCCGCCGTCCCCTTAAGACCTGGCCGTTCCGGTGAAACGAGCACGAAGGCCGAATACAACGCTAGCTGTGTATCGTTCAACTGAAGTCGCGCCAACGATCTGACCAATTCGAAGATGCCGCTAACGAGCTTGATTTCCAGTGTATCGCAGGTGTGGAACACGTCTTCAGGAAGTAGGGTGTCGCCATACAAGACACAATTCGATTCAGCGTCAAAATAGCGCGTCATTCGTAATAGGCACAATTCAAAGCAAGCCGCTTTTAGCAGGACGATTTGATCGTCCTGCGATAGCTTCATGAAGCCGGGTATCATTTTGGCGAACTCGATGATCTGTTGAATGAGCGAGGTCAATTTATGAGAGCAATCGAGCCACAGATCTTCTTGCGTCATGGTTTTCAGGTGATCGATCTTGGACAAGCTCAGGCTCGGATTCGAGCGGAGAGTCTGCACCTTGAGGCTAATCTCTTCCGAGCTGAACAGACAGGTACGGGTGTGCGCGTCCGAGACGGTCTTGCACAGTAGCTCGAGGTGGGGCGCCGGATGGCCAGAGCCGGGAACGGCCGCAGGCACAGCTGAGACCGGCGTCACCGGTGTAGGCGAAGGGGTCAATGCAGGACCTGCCGACGACTGGCAAATGTCCTCCTTAGCCAATGGGCTCGGCTCGACCGAGCGCGGATTCGAACCGAAGTCCGACACGTCGAAACTGCTCGAGCACAGGTTATTGGAGACTTCGTAGTCGTTGGCACCGTAGAAGTGGGTCGTGATCTCTTCAGGAAAATAGCCGGAGTTCGAAACTGGTTGCTGCTGCTGCTGCTGCTGAAGCTGCGGTTGACTAATAGCAGCCGACTGAGGGAACTGGCTGAGCCCGGACGGTTGTGGCTCGAAGATGGACACACTTGAATCTGGTGCCGTCTCGCTTGTGGCGCTGGCAGGGCGGGTTTGTTGTGCTCGGTGGAAACGAACCTCATCTTCGACCTTCTCTCGCTGCTTCTTGCTCATTCTACCGAACTTAACGGCGTCCCTGCTCATCCCGAGAGCGAGACATTTCTGCAACCTGCAGTATTGACACCTGTTTCTGTTGACCCGATCGACCACACAGTTCTTCTGTCTGGGACACTGATAATTCACGACTGAGCTCTGAGATCGTCGAAAGAAACCTTTGCAGCCCTCACAGGTGATCACGCCGTAATGCACCCCCGAGCTCTTGTCACCGCACACCTTGCATGGGATGATCTCGATCTGCGATTTGAGAGCCTTTTGTGGCTCGAGTTTCCAGTTAGGCTGGCCGCAGGCTCCACCCGAACTGCCCGTCGGTCCAACGGGTAACAGCGTCATACCGTCACTCGAACTAACCTCAATGAGGCCGCCGCTAACGGCGTCGCCGCCAGCCGACACAGTCAGCTCCATTTTGCCGAACACGTTTGGATTCGACATCCAGCTCTCCGGACTGCCCATCTTGATTCCGTTAAACGTGTGATGCGTCCGGGCCCGAGTGGGCTCACGGACTCGACACGGGACGACCCACTACTACACGGATCAATGACAGCGCGACAGTTTCGTCTTTATTTGAATCGGTTGTCAGCCAGTCGGACGACGATTCGTAGCCTTTGATCGCCTGCACCAGACTGGTTTCTTCTTTTCCGTTTATACCTCACACCATGCGTGTTTTCCTTTTTATACTTTGAATGCCACAGGCATAGTTGCAGTCCTAATCCTCGCAGGTGTCGGAACAGTTATTGGCCGAAGGCGAACTTTTCGTTGGCGACCTACGATGCTGACGACCGATACAACTCAACGATAACCAGTTGATCGATAATCACTTCTTTTTTTATCTAGCATTGACGTATTCCACAGTCGAGAGCGAACGGGGATGGATGTTGCACTCAGATGTGCTGCAATGTTTAAACGCAACCGCAATGCGCGTTTGAAATGTTTTTAGGTTAATGTACAATGCAATCAGACGTGAAACACTCACATGGTCACTCACAAAGCAACTTAATACAAATCTTTTTTTCCGTACAACTGGTTGCCGCCTTGTTGTTACTGTTGTTGTTAATGAACGTTAGCACACACTTCACTTAATAAATTTCACCATAATTCCGTTTCGCCCTATTGCAACCGGCTGAGCTTGTTCGCTCGTCGCCTACCACCACTCGTTGAGAGAAAGGGTCCCGCCCGAAGTGTCGTGCCCTGGTCGAAATCTCCACCCACAAACAGTCCAACTTTTTCTGTGGCACTTACACGCAGAGATATGCATCGGACATCGCTGATCGTGCTTTAACTCTCACAGACCGATAGCTAAGTGACTCGAGTCGCCGACAAACTCTCTGTGCACACGTCGTTGTAGATAAACTTCGTCAGATGTAGTTGTGCGGCCTATACGCCCGCCAGTTTCTACGTCCTGTTTCTCTCCCACATTTATCTACATTCTGCGTTCGTTAACTTTCTCTCTCCCTCACTCGATTTTGCTCTCTCCGTTAGTCTGTCTTTACGTTTTTCCCGCGCCAGCTCACTCTGGCAACGTAAATATTCACTTTGAGCCAGCATCAACGCATAGCTCTCACGTTAACTGGTACGAGGAGTCAACTTTTCGCCGAACCGAAATTTGTGGGCTCGCCGTGTCGAAGACATATGAGAGCACTTCACGGCCAGGACTTTCTAAGCAAAGACTCACTTTCGTACCTTCAAATCTATCGCTATGCAACTCCGGAGTGGACGAGACCGGCGTACGGCAAGCGCCTCTCCAATGTTACCCCTGTTCGACGGCCCCTCAACTAACCTAAGGCTTTTCGCTAAGCACTAGTTATCGCCAATTGGCGTTTTTGCAACGAACTGACAACGCACAGTTATATCATCACATGCTCACCACTACCGGACCACTACACGCGTATTTCTCGAGGCGAACCGCTTCCAGTTGTGATGATGCTGCTGCTGCTGCTGCTGCTTTCACCGCTATTCCAAGCCGTGCTGCTGCTGCCGCCGTCGCCGTCTCAGTGGAGCGACAGCAGTGGACCAGTGTTGCTGCTGCTGCGGCGGCGGCGTCGTCGTCGTCGTCGTCGTTGTCGTCGTCGTCGTCGTCGTCGTCGTCGTAGTAGTACTGGTACGTGGCGGCACCGTGCCGAAAATCTGCGTCAGTCACAGCAGCGTATTGACCGTGCATCAACTCGTCTTGCTGGGCCATAGACAGCGCATCAGCCGGTCCTACGTACAACTGACGATGATCGGCCAATGCAAATCGAACAGGCAGCGATCGTCACAGCCAGTGAGTCGTCGGGTAGTGCTAGCTCTACTGAGCTTTGAGCGTCTGAGTCTCGGAGTGGATCCTCACAATCGCAGCTGTACTGGAAGCTGCCACAATAGCAGAACAATTATATTGGTTATAGTTCCGGCCGCTGCCGTCGGGGCGGCAATGCGCTGTCCTCCTGTGGCTGTTGATCGACTGTAGTTAGCCAGCCAGCCAGCCAGTTAATGAACCAGCGGACGGGATGTTAGTTCGTCGTAGTGTTACCATTACAGCCACCGTCGTGTCCTGTCGTTCGTCGGCGGCAGCAGCAGCAGCAATAGTCGTACAAGTAGTCCCTGTTGTTGCATGCTGCGTGTATCCCGGCTGTGCTGGCTCATGATGCCAATGCTGGTTGTGGTAATAGTAACAGCGGCCAGCGACGGCGGTTCGGATGCTGTTGGTGCCGCTGCCGCCGTTGCTGCTGCTGCTGCTGCTGCTGCAGTTGTTTGTGTCGTCTGTGTTACAGCACCACTAACCTTAGTCTGAGCCACTAGCAGTTTTTGTAGTGATCGTAGTGCTGCTGCTGCTGCTGCTGCTGCTGCTGCTGCTGCTGCTGCTGCTGCTGGTCGTCGCATTCGTCGCAGGCATCGTCAGCGACGATTTCTCGCTGGCGCTCATAGTCGCTCACGGCGACGACGACCACCACCACTACTGCTACTGCTACTACGATGGGCACAACGTTGTCGGAGTTATAGTGGCCGCATAGAAGAAGCGACAGTAGCAGCAGCGGCGGCGGCAGCAGACACAGACACACACGCACTCACACAACCCAGCAGTAGTCGTCTACTGGCGACCAACAGACCGCCGCTGCTGTCCATCCAGCAACCAGAGCTTGCCTGCCTGCTAGGCGCTTACACAGATGCTGCGGCCGCTGCCGCTCCGGCTGTCGTTGCCGTTGCTGCTGCTAGCGCTGCCGCCAATGCAACGCGGAAGTGCGAGTACAGCGCGCGCTGGCAGGTCATTCACATCAGGTCACCCAAGTCCATTGAACCCCGTCGCAGCGGCGGCGGCGGCTGACGGTCAGCTGCTGCTGCTACGGCTGGCGCTACGGTAATCGCCGACTCGGTGCCACCGTCGAGTCGCGCGTTACCGCTCGTCGCTTATGTGGACGATTTCCGCGATAATAGTTGTAGTTGTGATATAAGGTTGTGTCCTAGTACAGAGTTGTATGGTAGAACGAACAGTAATAGCAGCAGGCGGTGCGCGGGGGCTTGCTGTGAGAGTGGCGCGGAAAGGAGCGGTCGTTTGTAGGAGTAGCTACTGCTGCTGCCGCCTATGGGAATGGGTGAATGTGAAGGAAAGGGAACAGCTCACCTACCACACACAAACCTAAGGACATACAGTACAGGGCACACTCACATAGAGAAGAGTCACAAACACGGCCAGGCCGACGGACAAAAGGACAGACGGACGGACAGAGCCACTGGGCGACAGCCACCCGATAGGGTAGGTTCGACTAAGGACCCTTTTGCGGCCTATGCCGAAGGTCCGTCAGTAGGTTTATCCTCGATCGTTGCTCAGCACTGGTTGGTGAGCACGCTTGCCAAAGCAGGCTTCTGCGGAACGTCGAATTTGCCGGGAAATCAAGTCGAAACAACAACGACGACAATAACAACAAAACGGCGCAATGAGTTCGAGGTGTACACCATAGAAAACCCCAGTCGCTCGCGTTCAATGGCCTCTGTTTGCTGCCGCCACCGCTGCTGTTGCCGTCGACGATGACGACGACGACGACGAAGACTGATGTTATTAGTTGTCAGTGTGCGTTGAGCACGGTCGCGCCATCTTGCGTCTGTCGGCGTTATTCGAGGAGTCGCGGTCTACGCCAGTATCTGGGTCATTCACTTCGCGAGTCGCTGCATCGTTCGCTGCACTCGCAACTAACGTCAAACGGTTCGCGCTGCTAGCGGCAACCGACTCATACTTCAGAATACTGAGCATCGTCGGGTTTGAGGGTGCGCACGGTTCATGTGGAGAAACGACGGCCTCTGGAACCGCTACTATGATTATTGTACATAGACTCTTTAGAGATTTAGAAAAGCTCGGCAAAGCATAATATGCACCCGCTTATCGGTAGCAATCTTTATTTACTCTTAACAATTTAATCTCTAGCACGTAGTCGAGACTTTTATTGGATGGAGCGTTTTGCCGCTTCATGCAATTTGTGGGTGCTGCCATCCATCTGGCAGCATTTGCAAGTCGCTTGGTCCATTGACGAGGGTCCAGGATCGGCAGATGGCGCTCATATCGTCGATGTGGGCGGGACCTAGGGTTTGGCAGTAGACCGCTGCTACCACGACCATAACAGCCACTGGCAATCCGAACCGCGCACACCAAACAGCTGAGCGCAAAACACGAGGAAGACTAGCTCTTTCTACATAGACGTGTATATGTGTCTGTTGGTGCAAAAAAGAGAGAAATTACGCGCGTTCTCTAACTGAGGAGAGGGCACTCTGTCTGCACAAACTACGATGAGCCATCACATGGGACACATTATTACCACAGCCAGACTGCTTTTGTCAGTGGCGGCTGGCCAGGCCACGAGCTAGGCTCGGTTCGAAGAGAACGTGGTAGACAAGGACGAAGAAGCCAAGAAAGGAAAGCGCCGGCAGAAGCGAGAGAATCCAATCGTGCCGTGTCTGCTTGTGATGGCTCTACAGACCCCGCAGTAGAACGCCGTAGCAGGAAGCAGCGGGCTCACGAAGAGGGCCTACTCTACACGAGGCTAGCATACTTGAACGAGTGAACAAGGAACACAGCGAACGAACGACTGGCCGACCGACCGATGGGGAGCCATGACGTGCTGTAGTTGCTCTCATTCTGGGTGTGATGACGCGAGGGTGGGCTATGTCTGTGTCTGGCAACGAAGTGAGGGAGGAGGGACGGTACAGGGCGGTGAACTCGTGAGAAGAAGAAAAGGCAATATACCAACAACAACAATAGAGAACAGAGAAAAGCACAAAGAGTTACCGAACCAATCCGATCGCCCGATCGAGAGAGCAGACAGATACAACGACGGCCAAACGAAGGGGTCTTGCAGATAAAGCTGCCTCGCAATTACGTCAGCTTCGAACACCAATTCGTCGTAGAAAACAGTCCCGTACCGGCTGCTACTTCTATTACCAACGGTAATAGAAGTAGCGGCTGTTCATCGAATGTCGAGATACGCGGCGGGAACGGGGGCGGGGGACGGGGGTAGAGAGCGCATAGGAGAAAAGAAGCAGCAAAATACACACGGAAAGTATTACCAGCCTAAACAACAATGCAACCTCGAATAGCAATATTGCTGGCTAGCGATATACTGATGCGATGCAACGCTGCGTTGCCTGGCTGGGAGCCAAAGAGACTCTATACCGTAAACAGGGGGTCTATGTGTGTGTGTGTGTGGGTGAGTGTGGCTAGCTGTATGGGTGTGTGTCTGTGTCTGTGTGTCTATGTGTGTGTGTGTGTGTGTGTGTGTGTGTGTGTGTGTGTGTGTATATATAACGGCGGTGGTGAATGTAAAACTCGAAACGTTTAGTTTAGGTGTATGACGCTGGTTGCGCCAGTGACGATGTCGCCTGCTTTAGTTGTTCTTTATCCTTGCCACTGTTTGTCGGCCATAGAACGGCCGGCTGTTATTGTCAATGTCCTCGTCATCGGCACCTACAACGTCGAGGTCAATGACCCCAACAAGGAAAACAGAAAGAGACAACAGTCGACAACTAAGCTTGATTGACTGGACGGCCGAGCACATGTTCGGCACTAACGCGGAACGCATTGGGTCGTCGACGGACAGCCCGGGCAGGCGAATACAGTTGGCATGCCGTTTTTCTCCGGACACGCAAAATCTCGATGTGCGCCGCTCGCGACAGCAACGACGGTCATAGCAAAGGCGGCATCAGTCACACAGCGACCAGCCGCAAACTGAGGAGTTAAGTCGATTGAGTCGACTTGGGTCACACTGTCGCTGGCGCGTCATGTCACACCAAATCGCCGTTCCCGTTATACGGACCCGCCGTTCCTAGCACATTTTTCGACATAACCTAGTGTCGCTAGTGAGGCAGGACACGTAGGCATGTTGGCTGACTGCAGGACAAATAAACGGGACCGATCGACCGACGGTTGGGAGATGACGAACCTTATTATAGCAGTACCCCTGCCGCTGGCCGTGGCGATGGCAGTCGTTGAGCCAGTCACCGACATTATCAACTACTAATATCAAACACGACTCGAAACGACGGGTGCGAGCGGTCACACGGTTGCCTGTCTCGATGCTGGCTCGCCAATATTATCTATACCCGTACATAGGCAGCTATAGGCGCAACCAGTGGATATGGTCTAGATGCCACAATCGTTAGGCCCGTTCAGCCGCATGATTGCGTGTATAGTAACGTTTATATTTATGAAGTTTACAGGAAGCGCAGCGGTTTTGACGTAACCTAGCACAGCAGTACGGTGGGCGACCCAATCTTATATTTGAGCCCGATTGCATTGCCTTTTTACTGTCGTCGGGGGGTGAGTCGCCTAGAGCCTAGCGTCTACAATATATTACTTGTACGTAAGCCAAGAAAAGGGTCATCGGGATATCCATTACAGCCATCACAGAAAAAGTCAGTTAAAAAAAATTGACGAAAATAGCCCGACACCGTTTAGGGCCAAGCATTGTTCTGTAGTTGCATCGTCGTCCCGTCATACAAAACTGTTGGAGAGGCCTCAAGCTCAACTTAATATTGCATGTACATTAGCTAATTATAATGAAACAATGCACGAAATAATAAGCGTTGCGCACAACAGTGGTGCTTACCAAAAAAGAAATAGAAAAAAAAAAAATAATGGTGAAGTTATCGAAACAACGAATTGCCGATGCAAAGCAATATTTTTATTGTATAATGGAAGTGATGCATGTGTGGATATTTCATTTAATTCGAGCCCCGGTCATCAGGCTATATCTACACATATACACAATAAAGTAATTGAAACTTTTTACTTAATAGAACACTACCAGAACCATAGCCCGGTTGTACGATTTGTTAGTGGGTGGTGCCCACGAAATAGGCTATTACTGATGTGAAGCTCGACATCAAAAGGATGTGCTTTAGTTTTTCTGGTTAGCCTCGTATACGGTCCTTAGCGCAGCATAACGGCCTAAGTTGAGGCAATATTTTGATCCCATTGAAGATCTGCGATCTTGTTCGGTTCCCGTAAAGTTCATCGACTTGACGAAGTTTTCTCACCGATACAG